TACACATGGCAATTCGGCGGTGCATAGGGGCACGTCTCTCCATGCTACATGTCTGTGGGTTGAACAATCACAGTCTTCGCCGTCTGGCGCAGTGGGAAAGTTTCGACCAAACAGTCCGTGGAGCGACCCTGATATGGATTGGTCACGTAGCGCGGATGTCTGTCTCCTCACCACAGAAAGCGGCCATGTATGGTTGGCTACATGTGGCGTCTGCCAAACCCCATGCCCCTCCAAGACAAGCCCAGTGGATCAACTCATGTCTTCGAGCTGCAGGCATCCCGGAAGGAGATTGGTTCCGACGGGCGCAAAATCGTGAGGCATGGCGCGCCGAGGTTTACCGGGCATTTCCGCCTGAGACACTCAAACACGAACACTCCGCCGCCCTAGATAACTGGCGCCCAGGTCAGCCAGTGCCCGACTTTGCCAAGGCAGAGGTACCGGAGCAGGACGTTCAAAGCAATGCTGGCAGTGAACAAGAGATAGGTGAACGCAGACGAGGTCGCGCCCGCCACAGAGCCCGTCGCGAGTATCGACATGGTAATGCCCAGGACGTCCGCACTGCGCGTGCGCACCGTAACGACCGAGGAGAGTGGGCTTGTCCCGTGTGCCAACAGGTCTTTGATAAAGCCAACCAGGCCACCTTTCACTATGAAGAACACCACGCCATTGCAGACCCCCACCTGGTTACTGTCCAGAGTTTCCCTTGTAATAAATGTGGAGTCGCCTTCCGACGCCAGAAACAGTTCAAAACCCACACCTGTCCTGCCAACACTCGTCTTCCCCGTCTTGACCAGATTGATGACAACCAAGCAGTGTGCGGTCCGATTGATCCTCATAGTCTAGCACAAGCCACGCAACTATACTTATACACAGATGGGTCTGGAGGCCAACGAGGTACTGCTGGTTGGGGTGTCGGGGTTTTCACACAACATTACCCTCAAGTACATGACCAGTGGTTAGCCGCTTTATATGGGCCAGTCTTGATTCAACCGTTTGATCCACTGTGGTTGGGAGCAGATCATCATTCGAACAACACGGGAGAACTGTCCGCTATTGGGGAAGCTTGTCGATGGCTCCTAACCCTGTTGGCCTCCCCCCGACCCCCGCCTCTTCAGAAAGTGAGGATCCTATATGATAGCACGTACGCATACAGTCTTGCCACCAGATTGGCCTATCCCCATGGCACCATCGAGCTTGCCAACAAAGTTGCACGCATGGTTGAAGATGTTCGCACACGCATTCATTTGGACTTTGAACATGTCCGAGCACACACCGATATCCATGGCAACGAAGTGGCGGATCGCCTCGCAAACCGGGGGGCAGAACAGCGAATTTCCCCACATCATACATGTTGGCTAACAATCCCTGAGGGACCTTTGGGGGCTCCGCCCGCTCCGGCCGCCCCTCCCCGCCGACCCTGTTCAGCGCCAGCTCGTCAACGATGTAATTTACGCGGAGAAGATTTTCGCCCTACAGATATTGTACAACGCCGCCCCATATGTAGAGGTCCAGACCCAGCAAACAGAACATGTCACTTCTGTCATAAAGTCCTAAAAGACGTCCAGACGCGTAAGAATCACGAAAGGTACACGCATCCTAATGAAGCGCTTGCAGCAGGACTCATTTCCACCATACCAAAAAAAGGTAAACGTGGCTAGGGTCACATGCGGCCCAAAGACAGGCCACACGGTTTGCTGGGGTTTGCTGGCCACATCCATATACTACCTAGTTTCCCTGCAGCCATCATGCATCAAATGTACCTCCGCCTTTGCTGCCTCTTTCTTTTGCTCCCTTCGCAATGGCTGCTCCTCCTCGCCGCGCCGGGAATGGGGTTATTAAGACCCAGATCAAAGACCTCCAAGATCGGGTCGACAGGTTTGAAGGTCGCCTCGACCGAGTGGAATACCGCCAAGAACAGGATGATGCTTACCGACGTGTTCGACTGGAACACTGTGGGGGCATGGATGAGTTGTGGACTAATTTTGAAAATAAGGTCTTTCCGGCAAAAGAACTTAAGGGGAAGGTCTGTGAATTACTCAAACAGGAACTGCAACGGGTGGGTCACAAGGAATACAACGAGGCAGAGGTGCAGGCAAAGGCGCAAGAGCTATCCCACCAAAAACGAGGCATTGCCGGTCCCGAGGACCGTAAACGTCTACTGGCAGAATGGAATTTGGATAACACCCTCGAGTGGGTCCGTAAGGACCGTAGTGGTGCTTATAACCTCATTCTACAAAGGGGCGAGCCGAGTCGTCTCCTACACGAAAGGCTCCGCAGAGAAGTCAACTGGGTGTTGTTCGTGCTGGCCCGCATGTCCTCGCCCCCTGCTGGGTTGCAGCTCTACCCCGACCGGGGACCGATCACCCGGGCAAGGAAGGGAGGAGGTAAAGGTGGCCCAGGCAAAGGTGGTAAGGGAGGCAGAGGTCGAGGCCGTGGCAGGGACCGCGGCGATGCTGCCTGAGCACACTGAGGTCCGGGTTGTTTCTGCTTTTGCGCCAGACATCGCACATATAATGATGTGTGACACATACTCCGCCCCACCTCTTGTCCTCTGCCCCTGCCTTTCATCGCTTTTCTCTCCCCTCTCCCCCTTCTTGGTTCCCGACGTCATCCAAGAGTTAGGATCCCTAGGGTACGTCGGGATCCCAGTGTGAGGCACCAGCCACGCGCGGTGTCTCCAAAAGTTCAGGATGACGGGAGCTTTCTTTTGTCCGGTCCGGTACCTTTTTGGTCCTCTGTCGAGATCTTCTTCTGAACTGAGTCCCCCCACAAACAGCACACGTCAACCGCCACGCTCTATATAGACATATCTATGCTGCGACTTTTCCAACACACGACCGCTTTTACACATGCAGACGATATTGGCTTTTTATGCACACACACGTTTGGAGAGAAGTTCTGCTTAGCCTTCGACACAGTACATGTCTTGCCAGTCTTGCATGCCCGCTTGTTATCTTTCCGTTAAGAAGTTTTGGGGGGTGGTCCGGCGCGCGGACTGAACAGAGTCGAATTCACCGGGACGAACAGGTATGGTACAAGCTACCCACGCCGCTGCTCAACAACAACAACAACAACATGTACCTAACGGTGCATGTGGATGATGTCTTCATGGTGGGAACGCGTGGAAGGTAGAGGCGAAGGGGCCGTTCACTGCAGGAGAGAAGTTCCTATATCTCAAGAGACAGTTCAAGATTACAGAAGATCACTGCGACATCAGATGTGATAGAAAGCAGTATTATGGGCTTGAGAAGGAACTGGACTTGTTTTGCAGAGCATATCGCAAGACGCCCCTCGACCAGAACGTCACAAAGAAGGACGACTCCCCGCTCTTGGAGGCAGAGGAAGTGACGAAATTCAGGAGCATTGTTGGGAGATTGATGTATATGGCAAGCGAGCGGCCAGATGCACAGTTCGGGATACAATGTTTGGCAAGGAAGATGTCTGCGCCAACGAAGCAAGCCCTGAAGAACGCATGGCACCTATGCTCATACCTCCAAGGAACCATCGACTATGGTGTGAGGCTGTCAAGAAGGGAGAAAGGAAGATCAGTGCTGGACACCAGAGAAGATGAAGAGATCAACAGCAGTCCTGCACATTTGGTGGAAGTGCTCACGGACGCAGACTATGCAGGGAACAGAGATGATAGAAAGAGCACTACATCGTTCCAGGTGTACATCGATGGGAACCTCATCGAGAGCCGGGTCAGAACACAGAAGGCCATAGCGCTGTCCTCAGGAGAAAGTGAATTTGTAGCTGTGGTGGCAGGATGCTCTGATGGAATGCTGATCAAGCAATTGCTCAACAAGATGACCGGAGGAAGCTGTCTGATGAAAGTCAGAACAGACAGCTCGGCTGCCCGGTCCATGGTGCAGCGCCAGGGCATTGGGCGCGTAAGACACCTGGATGCGTCATTGCTGTGGGTTCAACAAAAGGAGAGTGAAAGAGCCTTCAGCATAGCAGCCGTCCCGTCAGAGTTGAACAGTGCTGACATTGGCACAAAGAGTTTGACAAGGAAGAGGTTGCTTGGCCTACTCTACGACAGAGCAGGCACTGAGGAGTACAGAGACCTCGAGTACCAGTACCAGATCAAGAAAGGGACTATGAAGATGATGAAGTCAAAAGACATTCGCATTGGCCTGCTACTACTGATGGCAAGCATGAACTCAGTGGCTGGAAGCCCAGTTGAGAAGGAGGAGAAAGCAGGCAGCGAGTATGCATGGTGGGCACTAACTAGTCTTCTGCGCCTTGATTGGAGCCTTGAGCACACTGAAGTGGCTTCGGATCTTCATGGTCGAGGGTCTTCATGGCATGCTGGGTCGGATGATCAAGTATGAGACCTCAGCAGGACAGGAGACCACAAGCCAGAAGTGCGATCAACAAACTCAAGCAAATGAGTGGATCGACTCCTACATCTGGCAACAGTATGAGGAAGAGAAAGAAGAAATGGAAGAAGAGATGCACAATATGCAAGCTGCATTGCTGGAAGCAGAAGAGATGATGGGTCATTTGCAAGAAGACCTGAAGGAGGTTCGACGTCAGCGAGATGACAACCTCGCCATGTTTCTGAAAAGCCAGCAGCAGCAGATCAAGATCGAGAAGAAGATGTGCAATCTTCGAAAGGCGCCAAGTGGAAATGCTATCCACTTTGATGCTAGATGCATCCACTGGCAAAAGGCCAGAAGCGCCACTTTCTGTAGTGTGTGCCAAGACGAAGGGGCCGTGTTAGAAATCCATGAAACGGCACAAGGTTCACACTCAGGTCAATCGTCTTGACACATTTACGCCGTGAACACGAAGGCTCAATTTGCAGCTGAAAATAGTGTCTGCGCTACTTTGCAAACCCTGTACACTGTAGTTTAGATGTACAATATACGCAAGTGATTTCGTATCTAAGCACCTGCTTGGTTCTCATCTTGAGCCCAATCGCAGTTTGGAAGGTTCAAAAGTGACATAGGTCTCGTGACGCCATTTAGCCGCTGACGCCGCTCGTGTTTCCTGAGGCAGGGATTGCTGACGCCGGGCATAGACCCAGCTGTTCGTTCAACAGGGCCGGCTACCTGCATGGTAGGAGCCTTAATTAGTGCTCCAGGTGCTCATGGTGGACGATCCAGAGTGGTATTTTGGACCGTTCGGAGCATAGGTGGTGCGATTTCAGGCGAATCGCACTGCGATGGTGGCACCAGCGTGGTCGGGGAAGGCCACACTCTTCGGGGAGTTGGTGGGGGCCAACAAAGCGCGTGTTGACTGGGCGGTCGGCGCATTGGTTGTCTCACGAAGGAGGCGTACGGCGACTTGCAGCAGCTACACAACCAAAAGTGCCTCAGATGTTCGAGCTCTTCCTCAAAGTACTTTAGGCGGGGACTAAGAGAGTCAGAGTCGATGGTGACTTCATCAGGCTGAAGTCTACACGAGGGCCCAACAATTCATGGCTCGCTTCGGGAGCTTGTGAGAAGTGTGGAGGAGGGGCCAGCTTGTGATGAACCATGACTGAGGACGGGGGAGAAGAAGAGCAGGCGGAAACCACCAACGAGTGGGGTGACACGTGAGAAAGATATGCGTGGAGTGACCAGCAGCGGTATGGGGGTCGGTGGTCAGGCTGGAGGCCTTCATGGGCAGTCATCAGACTCTAGTTCCCGTGACACTAGTGGGTGGAGCCGACAAGGAGCAGCCGAAGCCCTTGGCCGCCACAGATTGCGAAGATGCCGTGTATGCTGTTATAGACTGCACGTGTGTGAATGACTTGTTCGACAAACTGAGAAACATGTTCTGTTGCTGAAGTGGAGGCTGTGCTTGTGACAGATTCCACCAATGTGTATCAATGTGTATGGCTGCGTGAACAGAACGGCCCTGGAACTGCTAGGGTTTAAGGAAACCAAGGGGCATACACTCTGGCGCTCAAATAGCGAACCCATTGACCAAAAAAAGAAAGAAAGAAAGAAAGAAACAAAGAAAGAAAGAAGGCGAACATCCCCCCATTCTACAACCTTAGCCAATGTTGGAAGATCGTGGGCGACCCACCTATGAGATCAGCGCATATAACGCAAAGAAAGTCGGCCTTGACGCTGTGGGCGCTGAACCTGCTCAGTCGGGGAACCCTCATGATCAACACAAGTTGCCGAAACCCCGCCAACGCAATGATTTCGTACCTAAGCACCTGCTTGGTTCTCATCTTGAGCCCAGTCACAAGTTGGAAGATTCAAAAATGACAGGTTGTTGCATAGGTCTCGTGACGCCATTTAGCCGCTGATGCCGCTCGTTTTGCGTGAGACAGGGATTGCATGGGCTTGCGCGCGAAAAATCAAAAAAACTTGCGAGGAGTGCGCGCGGTGCTACTTGTAATTTTGATGCAGATGCGGTTGATTGAGATATGATGAGATATGTCTAAGATAGGGCTCGGGCCAAGTTGGGCCAACCTGCCAGGCCAGGAGCCTACCCATGTCACGGGCAGCATGGAACCCAGGGCATGGTCATTGATGGTGGAGGCGAGGGACAGACACATTTGTTATTTGAAGCCTTCAAGTCTTTTGTCTGAAGCATTCACAAACTTAACTGACGCCTTTCTAACCCGAATTGTCGTTGTCAGGCATGGTTCGAATTCCGCTTTTGATGTACGAGAGCGGTGCCTAGTTGTGGGCGTTGCGCAATACCATAGGTGTTGGTCTGCGACAACAATCACAGACATCTTGCCAATGCTACAAGCATCTACCAGCAAAGGCACTGTCTTGTTGCTGGTGATATTGGAAAGCCAGTCGCGCAGGATCCCCAGTAGGTGTTTGCAGATTGTTTCTATCATTCCTGAATCAGTCCATTCAGTTCTATCAGTTGCATGTTTTTTTGAGTGTTTTCTGACCAGTAAGGTTGTCTCCTTGTGATGCCCATCAGGCCCACTTGTAACGCCAATTGCGTCCTCAATTTTGGATCTTTCGTCCAGGCTACTCAGCGTTGGAGTTTCTCAGAAGGACGACTCCAACAGCAAGGAAGCTGCGACGAATGACGAATGTTCGTTGTTTGACTGTTTCATTCTTGAACCTTAAATATGACCGGGGTTTCGTTTAAGTGATTGCAGGCACCATGAACTGCCTGGCAGCAGCAAGCGAGAAATCAGACAAGTCAGGGAAACCCAGAGTGACTTGCTGCAAAGTAGTTGTTTGTGATATTGTGGCCAGGCTGCTTTGCCAATCATGTGTCCAACATTTGTCAGGTCTTGACCCCACAACTATGTAATGAGGGTGAACGTTGGGGGTCTTTGACGTCGTAAGGGCTGAATTCTAGTGATGCGTAGACTGATGAGATGTGTAGACCAATTCGGAGGGTCAGTGATGTCGACGTTCGTTAGCAAGTGAGAGCCCAAAGGAAAGGTGGTAAGTGGAGGTTTTGAATCGACTTATATAAATGATAAAGGAGGTTGGGTAGACCCCAAACTGAAACTAACACCGCCGTCTCTTTCCAGTTCAAGCTGCAGGCCACCAGCAGGCCACAGAACAATCCGGCGCTGTCAGCAGAATTGCCCAACGTGACAACAAACTACCTGTACACTGAGGCTACCATTTGCGTTGACCATGGCGACCATGCCTCAAGGGCAGCTGTCAATGGCAATATTGTTGCGCGGATTTCAAATTGTGAGAATTGGCTTAAAACGTTCAATTGCAAGGCAATGCAACAACAACGAAGAGCAACAGTGGGAATGGTTTTGTCCTTAGCGACCTGTGCAAGTGCTGGGGATGTTTCCCCCACGGATAGAGATCTTGATAGAATTCGAAAAATTCGATGAAAACACCTTTTTTTTAATCTGAGGTATATTTAACCTATCTTATGTTGCAATTCAAAGAAAATTGTATTAATTGATAATGAATAATATAATATATAAGTATATTGAATTCAAAATATTAAATATAAACATTGAATTATGTGTTTAAACTAAATATATGTAATGTTTAATAATATGAATGTATGTTATTTTGGATTTTTGCTTTAGTATGGGAAAAAACATATCTATATTGTATTTTTCTAGTATTTTATTTATTTAAAATTTGGTAATCGTGTTTTTCGGTTTTTTTATGATGAATCGGAAGTACGATTTATAATATTATGATTGTTAAGTATATAATTTGGATTTTGATTAATTTGGTAAGTCCGGTTTTAAATTTGGGGTACGTAATGGATGATTTGGATTTTTTTTTATTGTATTTTATTTATTTGATATAAAGTTGTTTGTTTTTTTTTAATAAAGAAAAATATAGGTATTATAAATTTATTGTTTTTTGATTGAAAAAAGGCGAATGTAATCTGAATAATTATATAATATATCTAATTTGAATTTTCTAGGATTAAAAAAAAAGCGTAGGGCTTGTAAGAAGGTATTGATTGAAATTTAGATTATTTACAAGGATCATATATTTTGGTTAATAGATTTTTTTTTTCGTATTCGTAATGATTTGAAATTGAATTATTTTATATGCATTGAACCTTTATTGGAGAGATGTTTATAGATATTTAAGGAAATATTGTTGTTATTGTTTAGGTGGAATGCGTCTTGTAGCTTGAATTATTGCGAGTGTTTTTGTTGGTATGTTGGTCGAAATGAGGATATCTTATTGATTTAGGAATTGGCATGGTAAATGTTTGATTAATGGATTATGGATGATTGATAGTGCATTCATTTATATAATATATTAATTAATTTATTTTTAATGGTTCGACGGAAATTGCTTAGGCCATTTTTATTGGTTTATATATTATTTTAATTTTTGAAAGAATAATTTATTTGAGATTTATATTTAGATATTTATATAATTGTAAAGGTATGGAGTGAATATTTATTACGTGTGATCGCTCGAAGTGTTAATGTGGAAACAAGTAAGTCGCATGCGATTTTTTTGCGTAGCAAGCGTGCATGCTGAGGGACCCCTGTGGGCTAAGCTCGTGAACCAACGATCGGCGGGCGGCAAGGTTGGAAACCGCTTATGCCAAAAATTCTGTCTTTTATCCTTTTGGATGGCACCTAAATCCCACCGGTGGTTGTGGCCAAGAAGCTCGTCAGAATTCTCGCCACTTCATTATTTCCTGTTGGGCGTAGAAGGCGCAATAGTCATACTGCCTCATCGTGTCAGCATCGGCCCCAGAAAGGCCTTGGTACTTGCTGCCTGTTCTTGTAGTCCACACTGACCTCGGCACTGGGTTGCGATTAAGCTCGTACTTGATGGTTTCCAGCTTGTCATAGGCAGTCTGCCATTTGATTCTCACATCTTTATATTTGCCGTCGAGCTCCCCGATACCACCGGACAGATAGTCCGCATCAGGGTGAGGTCGTCCACTTCTTTCTGCAATTCGTTGTTCTCGCCCTCCAGCGCGTCGAGCTGGTCTTTGAACTGGGCGTTGTAGGCATCTGAATTTCGTAGGTCTTGTTGAAGTCGTGTGATTTCCATCTTGAGGAGGCCAAATATATTCTTTTCGAGAGCTGTCTCCGCCTGGGTGCCACATTCCTTTGTGGTAGAGCTTGGACTCTCTGTTGTCATCGTCCAGGTCTCTGTCGTTGTCATTGTCTTTAATGTCGTCGGAGTCGTCGTTGTAGCCCTTCCCCACATGTGCCATCCCACCATGGTCATCAGTAGGATGAAGAGAGTGAGGGTCATCTCAGGAGAGAAGGCGAAGTCCAGGGCCATCTCGAAGCTAGGCTGCATGGCTTGCACCATCATCATCTGCGAGGTGAGGATCATGTAGTCCAGGCTGTGTCGATTCCCTGATCGACTGATCGCATGTTTGCGAGCATTGGCCTGCCGTTCAGCCAGAGTCTTCTTCTTGGCGGCCTGGAAGGTCATGTCTGACCGTAGGGAGATTTGGTGACTCCTCAAACGGTCGGCGAACAGCTGCCTTGTTGAGGATTTGGTGACTCCATCAGCTAGCTGGATCTCTGAGCTAACCCAGCGCAGCTTCGTGTCCATGGAAAGCATCTTTTGCTTTGTGACCATGACCTCGATCTTCGTCCGCTTGTCTCCTTGGAGACTGGGTGTCTCGGCTTTGAGGCTGTCGTAGAGGGCTTTGGCGTCTACCACCAGAGCTAAGGAGAGAGAGGGCTTCAGCTCGTTGACCTGTCGAAGCTGGAAGTCGTGCTTCAAGCATCCTTCCCAGAAGATGAGGAGGTACTCCAAGGCGTCCATGGCTGCTGAGCAAGCTTGACTCTCAGCATTCAGCGAGGATCTGCTGACCCTTGGCAGTTTGAAGCTCCTCCAATCCAGGATGATATAGTCGTGGTCGGAGGTGTCATCGAGCACGGCCTTGTTGCAAAGAAGGAGCAAGTAGCCTCCTTGGCTCTCATTGTTTCTCCTCACACCCCAGGCGGCATCACTCATCGCCACCATGCACAGGTTGTCCAGCGAACCTCCCAATGATCTGAAGATCAGACCAGTGTCGTTGTTGTTCTTGGCGAAGCGGAGGGTCTTGTTTGCTTGCTGGGCAACACCAACCGTGGATGTAGTGACTTCTCCACATAGAAGCGACACTGAGGCGCATAAGTGTGGTGAGGTTTGAGTTGCCGGCCATTGAAGTGCTCCAAGTAGCGCTCGAAGTGAGCTCTGCTCGCGAGAGTTGAGATCTCGCTCAGGATCATTGTCGGCGCAGGTCATGGGCTTGATGCCTTTGAGGTAGTCTGCCTGCGTCATGACTGACTCGGTGGCCGTTCGTGCCAGCTGACAGCCGCAGAACTCTAGAGGTCGCTCTCCTTCCTTGGTCCAGTGCTTGAAGTTGAAGGAGGTCTTGAGGCTGTCCGTGAGCTGCTGGTACGTTGGCGATGAAGCTAAGCCACAGCCAAATAGATCATCAACGTGGATGCCAACCATAGCTGTCAGGGCCTTGTTCTCATCGAAGAACATGTAGAGGCACTGATCCAGAGGATGGGATTGGAATCCCAACTGCAGTAAACGGCGTCTCGCCACTGCAAACCACTGCCTTGGAGCATCAGCCTGTCCGTAGAGGGGCTTGATCAAGCGCATGAGGGTGCCCGGAGGAACGCCGATCAACTCGCAAGCGTCCTTGGGGATCCGGGCCCACAAGATTCTCTGCTGAGGATCACCCTGAAGGAATGCCGTTGCAACGCCGGCAGTCCAGCGCTCCCAGGAAAGCACCTCGGAGATGGCGATGATCACCTGGCGAGAGCTCCTTGACAAAGTGGGTGATGAAGTGTCGAGTTGACCTTGCAGCAGGTCGGGATCAGCAAATCCCTGAAGAACCAGTCTTGCCTTGGCCTTGAGGCCACCTTTCCCATCAGCTGCCCACTTGAGAACGAAGCGAGCGCGCATGACCCTGTTGTGATCAACAGATTGTGGATCGAGTTCGATCTCCCAGACTCCGTTCTTGAAGATGCTGGAGAGCTCGTTCTTCTTGCCCTCCAAGAAGGCCAAACGGTCTTCTAGGGACATTTTCTTCTCGTTGAGGTCTGCGCTCTCCTTGACGTTCTTCTTCTTGGGGCTAGCGGCACCGACTGCTTGCCAAATGTGTCCACGGCCTCTGAGCGTCTTGCAGCGGCTGAGCTTGTCGGAGAGGTCGCCGATGTAGTAGAGACCAGTCTTCTCTGCACCACTGACGGTGAGGGGGTACAAGGTCTTGCCTGTCCAAGCTTCGCTGAAGTGCTGCTGCTCCTTGGAGTTGACATAGATGGTCCGTGAACCTTGCTGAAGCGTCAGGCCGGTGGTTGTTTGTAAGTAGGAGGGGTCAATGGGAAAGGTCTCCGGCTTGTAGGTTGACTTTCTTCCCCAAACATGGTTTCTGACCAAAAAGCCGTCCTCATAGCTCCACCAGTCTGCGGTCTTGCCGAGGGTGAACTCGTGGGTCTTCTCATCATAGTGCCATCCGGACGGGAGAGGTGTGGACTTGCTGAAGTCAAAGCTATTGAGGTTGAGGTCCACATCACCATCATCTGTCCGGGCTTTCTTACGAGTCCAGATCGTCTCTTGCTGATCGAAGCGACGGCGTCGATCTTGAAAGGATTCATGGGCTGGTGGTGCATAGAGAGGATCAACGGTCATAGGACCTGATGAAGATGATGCCTCAGGTGCGGGCACATCGGCTGGTTCAGCCTTTGGAGAGTTCAGATCATCATCTTCAGGTACAGGAAGGTCTGCTGGATCGGGACGTGGGTCTTGTTGATCCGTCCTGGCCATTGGAGTTTGGAGGTGAGAAGGTTCACCCATAGGCTCCTCAAAGTCATCATCATCCAGTTCAGGAAGTTCTGGATGTCGCTCATGAGGTTGACGTTCCTCCAACTGAGGTTCCAGCTGCGGTGGCTCTGACTGAGCATCCAGAGGTTCTGCTTCTGGAGGTTCTGCTGCTGGCAATGCTGCTGCTCTCGACTGAACTGCCTCCTGCATTGAGCGGTCGAAGGCTTGTTGAACTCCGTCAGGTAGAGCAGGCGAGGACATAGTCAACGGAGCGGGATGATGAGGATCTGGAAGCGAAGGCTCATAGTCACTGACCTCAGGGTCAACCTCATCGATCGCTTGTTGGCCTTTCGCAAATCCACGATGCGAACGGATCTCCTTTGTCTCAGGCCGTCCAGGGCTTGTTGAGCTCGTTGCACTGCTCCGATCTGTCTGCCATCATTGACCATCTTGCGAACGTGTTGAACTCCAGCACGAAGGAGCACAGTGCCGTGAGCGAGCCAGTAGACACTGACGGTGCCTGAGTCCGGGTTGCGTTCCACAGCAACCACTACCGGAGGTCCTCTCCAGCGGATGATGTGGTTCTTGTCGGGAGCATCACGCCAGTAGTAGCATCGTTCGCCTGGAAGAAGCTCCTCGTCTTTGCCAGTGAAGCGTCGGAGTAGAGCTCGGCGAAGTTTCACGTCAATCTCAGC